ACGGGGAGCTGCCGGTAGCTTCGCCTTTCATGGCAATTTTTTCCCTTCGTTTCTCTTTGCTTTGCTCGGTCGGTGTGCTTCCCATACAGGTTTCTTTCCATGCCGAGTACTGTACGATTTCTGCTACCCTTATTTGATAAAACAACAAGAAATCGACGACCCGTATGTAGTCCAAGTTCAAGTCGCCACGAAGCAATAGGCGGAAGGGAAAGCATGCGAGGCCACCAGGTCCGCAAAGAAGCAGGCCTCAGTCAACAAAGTTGTGGGATGCCGTGCAGCGTGTCCAAAGCTAAACTAAGCTCGACACCGCCCATCATTCGACTAGCTTAGAAGCTGGCGGGCTAGTACCCAGGCATCCGGAGCCTAAGAGAAGCTAGAGCGGTCAACGGGAATGCCATGTGTACGTATCCGCAGTAATATGTACGGCAGCCGTGGGCACGGTTGTACCACGATCAGTTCAATGCATCGCTCCCGCGCAAGATCAAGCGCGGCCCGTCTCGCCCAAGCCCAAGCCCAAGCGTCATACAGTACACTCAGTACGTATCTCACTCACTATGTCCTCGATCGAGTTGCAGATGCTAACAGGCGCACCGGCCGTTCAGTGAACGACGGGAGCGCAAGGACTTCCGTTGTAGGCGCTTACTCTCTGAGAGAGACGCGGGGTGGGCCGGGCCATTGAATCTGGTGTACGTGAGCGAAGGACAAAGCATTTGCCAAGCCAGAGATAGAGGCGGTAACGCAAATCCAAAAAGCAATAACAAAACGGTTTGGAGGAAAAGAGAAAAGAGGCAACAAGCAACCTCCATACCGCTATGGTAAGCTAGGTACCTCTAGTGCTGTACCTGTACTTCAGGGCAACGTGCTAGAGGAACGTGGAAGGGAGCTGAGATGGGACAAAGAAACAAAAGATCGTCGTAGTGCCCCGTGTCCGTGGTTTTGGGTGGTGCGGACCTTGGTCTAGCTGATCCTGGCTAGTCGCTACAAGGTCTTGCTTGCTTGTTTGGTCCCTTGAGTAGCGGTTGATTGCGTACTAATTATCTGATGCAACATTAGTTGATGTATTTTCTTTTCTTTTTTTCTCATATTCTCTCTTTCATTAGCAAGAATATGAACTACAGTTCGTTGGTAGTTCGCGCTGACGTGGGAAAGGGTTGTAGGCCTCGAACAGGCCACCAATTCGAATCTCACTTACAAGCAGTGTCGTTCATGATGACATGGCATTGCATTTGGACTTGCCCACCAAAAGCGGAAAAAACCAGGGCCATGAATCCGCATGAGACAAGACAGCACTCACTTGCATTGTCTTGCCCCGAGGTGGGTGGGTGAGACCCCAAAAGAGACGTTGGAAACCAAGGTAGGGATAGGTAGGGCAGGGCTGCAGGATGAGGAAGGGCAGAGTTTGTTTATATTTACCCCTAGAGTGTGAGTGTGACATTTTACTCTGTTACATGTTGATTTGGTGATGATGCCGGGGATTGACACTGCAGGAGGATCAGAATTAAGACACGGGAAGAAGGCGAAAACAATAGAAATCATGAGGCAGATTCTGTGAGGGTGTGTCTTCTGAGATACCTTAGGCAGCCACCTATCACAATAGCTACTTTCCAGGCAAGAGCAACTGGAGAACAGAAACAACAGGCAGGAGCTGTCAAATGCAACAATTCGAATTTCACCATCATCCACTTGATCCATATCCAATACCCAAGACTCTACATTCGAGCGTCAAATAATAATACCGTCAGACGTCAATCTTGTTGGCACCCTAGTCAACCCTTTGACTTTTCTCTAAACCAAACTTCCACACAATTCGCGCCACGACACGCCACGCACGCGGAAGGGACCTGACTTACCCGTTGTTGACCATTTCCACGATAAATATTGCTAGCTCTCAATTGCTGGCATCGCCAAGACTAGTCACTGTACCCACGAGTTCCGCTCAGAGAATTTATCTACGTGCTCAGTGGGCATTGCGTTGCTTTTCACACTGAAAGGTAACTATAACCTCCTAAAACTTCCTGCAAAACACTCCTCTACAACATCAACTGATAAGAAAACATGTGAAGGATTGATATATGACTGTTTGCAATACTTTGCTTCTCGATCTTAGTTTCGACAAAAAACCCCTGGAGCGGTGATATACGGTACCTTGGCCGAGGGGTGTGGGTGCATCGGACGACAGCAACTCTGACGGGTGATGGTGAATTGCATGACAAGGGGCTTCTACCGGGGAAGGGGCCCTGGTTACCTGGTTAAGAGCTGCAAGGCCCACCCGGGCAGATGCAGCCATCCATGACAGTTGTCTCTAGTGGGGAGACCAATCTGCATTGCGTCGAATGCCGGGTTTGTGACTGGCACACTGGCTGGCACAAGCGCCTGTACCGGGGAAGTGGTTGGAGGCTAGCAAGCTTTCACACGATCAAACGCGACATTGCGTACCTGTCGATAATGTCACGCGCAGAGCATGCAGACCAGATCCTACCGCACTATCTGGTAGGTAAACGCAAGCTATCACTACCCGTCATTTATGGCTTGCTCTTTCAGCACTGCCGCGGCGAGCAAACTTATGGATCGTCACACGAGTTGAATGAATGGCCACAGACCGAATCATAAGGGTTTTCTCTCCATCTCATCAAAGCCATAATGACGACAAAAGAACAAAAGCAAACAATCAAAATTGTCGACATGGCGGTTTCTAATCTTAGATTAGCAATGTGCGGCCGCTTTTAAGAGTTCAGGGATGATATGATATGGCTGTGACTGTTAATGGGCGACTCATCATAAGTCTCGCAGGAAATGAATTCACGAGAAAAGCGAAATGAGGTGGATCAAAGCCACCAAATCTTCAACGACGGGTGGCTTGAACCGTTATCACATCACGCCGTGCCGCAATTGTCTTATTTGACGGCACGTTGCGGCGCTGAACACCGCGGGACGGGGCGTTCTTAGCATTGAGTGGACGCAATGGCGTTTCTACGAGGCAAATGATCCGACTTGTTCCTTCAACTTGGTCATTATTGGTGTTTCATTGGACCCCAGGTGCGCAATCCGAGTTTAGCCATGATGTCGATGGCGGAGGGGCTCCGGATTTTGGATACAATATCATGTCTCATCAATTTTTTCTAATTTCAGAGACCGGCACATACAATCAAACACAAGAAATGAATTTGTGAGGTGGCGGTCTCGGCAGTGTGGGGGTAGGATTGCTGATGATCCCTCTACGTCTTTAGGGAATTGATAATTCCTGCACAGTTACATTTATGCCAACACTTACACCACGTTGGTGCTCATGTTTAGTCTTTTGAGACAGCACCTCTACAAAAAATTTGCAAGGGCAATCCAAGCTACGAGGCTGAAACAAGTTGCTGTGACGCTACTAGGGTCGGGCTCTTTTGCTTTTCTTTATAACCTTCTCTTTCAGCTCGAAATAGCTGTCAATTATGCAGTGAGTTAAGGCATCCCTTGTTATATTGTCCCCATCCTTTGCCGGCCCGTCCCTAGTTGTCGAATTCTTATTGGTTTTTCTGCCCGCTCATTCACGAAAGCTAATATCGCCGTCTTAATTAGATCCATGTTATAAATTAGCCGCTGTTGACGAACTTGTCGCTGTCAAGAAGCTCGATGGTGTTGTCCTCGCTTTACTGTCGCGTCACGTCACCTACACCCAATGGTACCCTACACTCGAACGTGGCCTTGCATATCTGCTGGGAGTCTAAGTCACTTGCGTGGACAAGGGTGTACACAGAGACGCTCAAATAGCTGTCGAGTTATGGCCTCTTCAAAATTCGGCTCAGCCTCGACAATTACCCCCGGTCTAGCAGTGGTGATCATGGGTCTCGACGGCTCCCGTGACCATGAGCGGTCAGGGAAAACAGCCAAGGGTCCGAGCCAGGTCAAACACGGCCGGCCAGCTAATCAACGGGCATCTGTAACTATGGCATGCATTGCGTCCTGCAACTAATTTACCCTGCCATGCCTTTTGTTGTGGTGGTCCGGGATGTGCTGGCAGCGTGGTATTTCCTGAATCTTTCAGCCCACAATCAATTAGTCACAGTCACGGAGCCGAGACCTAGACACTCTAGACCCTTCATGGAGAAGTGCAGCTTGGGCCTGGTTCATGCAGGAGCCCATTGCTGCATCTACACGTACATACGGATACATAGACATGCAGCAGCACAGCACTGATGCATTGATGCATTGATGCAACCGTCGACCAACGGCTGACATGGGCGCCTCAAAACTAGTGAATGCAGCAACGGTGTTGGTCGACACCTGTCACCCAACGGTGCCGTGTCCGCTTCACCCTTTCCAGACAGTGCAGCATCACTGCTGCCACAAGGTAGAGCGGTGTGGGTGTATGTGAGTCTCTTTGCATACGTTTCGACCGGTCAAGAGATGTGTGGGAACTGCGGGTTGAGCTGTCTTTTGATGCGTTGTCCTCCCGCGCTACAGTTCATTACCATGAAGGTGGTGTTGCTGCCCGATGACGACCTAATCATTGATGGCTAGGGGAACGATTCGAAAGGTTTACCGTTGAATCCTATGTTGTTGAACTGAGTGTTTTTTTCGCAGTCGCTTCGCGTCCCCTCTTGGTTGATGGCTTATGGTCAATTGGAGAGAAAGCATAATTGACAGTCAGATTGTCGGGAGGCAGCATTTACCTTGATGAATCGTGACCCACCTCAGGATCTGATAAAGCTGGGAAACGTTTCATGGCCATGGGGATGAGTGTCGATGTTCATCCAGGAAAAAGTTCAAGATTGAGCAACCCAAGAAAGAACGCACGTGGGGGGCTAGCCAAAATTGATCTTCCCCCACGCAGTGAGGTTACAATGTCGCTTGTGGGCGGTGATACGTAGTACGTATTACCGACTGGCAAACAAAGGCAGGTCATGGCTTCATGATACAGTACAAGGTCTCTTCCGATCTGAAGGACATTTTCCAATATATGTATGAGCGCGGCAATGGCAGCCGTGTTAGATGCTAGACACAATGGCGTCTAAATGCGCAAACCATGCGTGCGTACTGCAGCTGTGGTTAAGACCCAACTACACTGGCGCAAGCGCGCAAAGAGATTACGCACAAGACATTTGAGTGCGGCCATCCAATGATATCTCTTGCGGTACTTAGTTGGTCCCGACAGTTTGGGCCACTGCTTCACAAGGCAAGATCGACTGTTACAGCTTGTTGGTCAGAGAACGCCACAGCAAGCCAACATGATGGTCGGACCACTTGATGGCCACCAAATCCTAGTGACATCTCCTTGCATAGCTACACTAGGGAAGAATGTGAAGCAAGCATTTAGACTACATTAGAGGAGTATAGAAAATGCAGTACTACGCTTCTGGGTTTCTCTGTGTATCGCCTGCAACAAACCTTACAGTCATGATGAAGAACCGGGTTATAGGCCCGGCGGCCCCGGGATCGGATCGGAGTATGTTGCCATCATCTCCGGACCGAACCGGACAAGTTGGCCAAACGTGAATTTAGCCATCAGTGATACTGCAATTATCCATCGCGTTTTCTTTCCGTTTCCACGCTTTTATAGTATATCTTCAGCTTTCAATCCACACGGCCGAGCACTTTATGCTGTGTTTTACAGCAAAACTCCCCCACTCTCGATCTTTATTTGTCTTGACCCGCCTTTCCCCTCTCAGATCACAGAGTCAGTCCATATCATAAACCTCAACCCCGCTATTCATCATAGCTGTCTGCGTTGATCTCTGTGCTCTTTCAACTCAAACGTATACCTGGATCACTATATAACGCCAGCCTCAATTAACACAATGGGCGCCGACATTCAACAATGGACGATAGAGAAGCCTTGGCTTGAGACGCATTGTCTCTTGGGCGAAGGACCTTTCTATGAGAAATCTACCGACACTTTGCGCTTTGTCGACATTCGTAACAAGCGATTGCATTACGTCAAGGTCGCTGAGGGCCTTTCATCCCTCAGAACAGTTCAGTTGGATGTATGTCCTACTGTCACGGCCAACATTGTTGGCGTCGACCCACAGGAGCGAATCGCTCTGGGTGTCAAGTATGGATTGGCGATCTTTGATGTCAAGAAGGAGACATATGAACTCATCCAGCCATTCGAAGAGCCGGCGAATGAGCGTCTACGTAGTAATGACGGCGGCGTGGACCCTCTCGGCCGGTTCTGGCTCGGAACCATGACAGACTTTGGTCTTGGACCCTTCAAGCCTGAAGGTACGCTACTTTACCCCGGTGTCCTCGTCAAGCAACAGCCGCATGGACCTCTTCTTTTCCTTCCCCTTGACAAACCTCTACAGTCTAACATGCTAATCCAGGAGCGGTTTATCTCATGGATTCCAAGTCGCGGGAGGTGAAGCTTTCCGATATGACGATTCCCAACACGCCAGGTTGGTCTCCGGATGGGAAGACACTATATGTCACACATTCAAGTGCCAGGGAGATCTTTGCATTCGACTTCGATACTGGATCCGGAGAGATCTCCAACAAGCGTGTCTTCTATACCCATAATGGCTCAGGTGAGCCGGACGGTTTCCGAGTAGATGTTGATGGCTTCATTTGGCACGCCGTCTACGGAGAGGGGCGCGTGATTCGGATCGACCCCAAGACGGCTGAGATTGTAGGCGAGGTCAAAGTGCCGACAAAGAACACGACCTGTGTGCAGTTCGTCGGTACTGAACTCGTCATCACAACCGCAGAGGATGACGAGGGCGAGGGAACGAGTCGCGAGTATGGTGGACATGTGTTCAAGGTTGACGTTGGCATCCAGGGTCTGGAGCTTCACGAGTTCAAGCTATGAGTCTCGTTCGAGCTAGACAATGACCGTCGCTTGTGTCGACTCGACTATGCGCGCTGAGCGGTAAAAGCACAGACCTCGTTAGAGTTGAGGTTTGTCATTGAGTCTTGGAGGCTTGAATAACAATTACCCAATCAAGTTGATTACCCCGAACTTCTCTTGTTCTCTTTCCCTTCTTTATGTTGACAGGGTCTGAGCTAAACCCGGAACCCCTGGAGCGGACCATGCCCCGTCGGCTGGGTCGTTCCATGATACCTTGTTTGTTTGCTCGAATGCTACACAGTGTTTGCCTGTTCCACGCCATGCTCATGTTTGTCCACCATCCATGGAGTATATCCGAGTCATCTTGACACATCTTGGCCACAGCTTGAGACATTGTCGTCTTCCATGGTGTTGGAATTCCCAGCAAAGCGTCTAGAGCGTCACCTGAACAGCAGTTCTCGTAAACTATTTCAACTGCCGACTAAGATCCACAAACTTCCACAAGCGTGTTCCTTACCGACGCGCTTGTTAAATACATGACTCATGTTCATATTCAAACAACACGGGCTTATTCACCCTTAGACACACCGCTGTCAAAAGCCTTGACCGCTCTCGAAATCTAGCGCCTTTCTTGATCGGAACTTTTCTTCAGACTCGCCTGTTGTTACGTGCATAAGAACGCTATATTCGATGGCTCATACTATAACAGGCAAGGGACCCCCTGGTGACCGGTACAGATGCAGGTTTGAGAATTCGATGCTAGTCCTGTGTCTGTGCCTTTGACGGCTGCATTCATACCGAGCGAGAGTCTGCATTGCATGAGGCTGGGTTTTTCGTTTCCAGGCTCCTTCACAGCAAGTCGGAACAATGAAAGGGGTTTTCACCGACAAGTCAAACTCAGGTTCCCTTTCCTTCTCACCGCTTCAATTGAGACTGGACCCCTAGAATATTTAGTCGCTGGAATCTTTTGGCACTGACACACGTGGGAATACCCTCTCCGTACAGTTGTCTCCCCTACCTTTTACCCTGTCTGCGCGTTCATATGACGAACATCACTTCACCCCTACCTACCTCAAAGTGAGATCATATTGCTTTTCCCGACATTTCGTGTAGGTCCTTAGTTGGCTAAACAAGCAACATCCCATCTTGAAACACCCTCGTCAAAAATGAGGGCGTCGATCCTGTTCTGGGTTACACCCTGCTCGCCTCACTTATACCACAGCAACAGTGCTGCACTTTTGCTCCCTAGGGGTTCTCTCAATCACGTCAGGAATAATTAATGATGAACCACGCCAGCCCTACATGCATACACTACGTAGTATAAAACTCAAAGCCCAAGAGAGAAGAAGAAGCAAAAAAATAGACAAGGGGCGCTTCATCACTCCCCTTGTCACCGCTCCTCAAACTAAGAGGATTCCTTTTTTTTTTTCTTTTCTTCCGGCCACCCCCTGGAATCCCAAAACCTGGCGTGAGTTCTAGCAAACCGGGGAAGAGGGGAGCCTGCAGTAGGGCCCGGGGGTGTTTAGACCGGGAAGCCGTGGAATCATCCCCGTTGGCTGATTGATTACCTTGACAGGAATGTCTCGCTACGTTCGCTGACGTTGGAATGACTGCCATCCGCTAAGTTATGCTACGCCGTTGAACGCTGAGGGGCATGCCTTGTCGAGGAGAAGAAGAAAGCATTTCGTGTAGCAGCAGGGTAACTGCATATTTATACTGATAGATAACATTTCTTATACAACACTATGACATGGTGTTTCATATACATACAAATCTTTGATACAATTTGTCTCGTCGAGGTGATCGGGATTTAGGATATAAAATAATGCTCTATTGTTTGGTATAAAGTAGGTGTATTGGTACTTATGTTAATTGAAGAATGAAACCTTGCTATGACCTCTCGGTCCGCAAGTCCCGGTCCAACTCTGTATGTCACTATTCCAATCAATCCGGATTCTGGTATCACAATTTTGCTGTCCCTTGCGGCCTCTGGTGTTCTCGTAGGCCCTCTCTCAGATCGGTATTGACTACCAAGTCGTCCTTGCCTTTGAAATGCATCACGACTGTAAGGCCTTCAATGTCGATATCTGTGTGAGTATGCGAGCAAAAGGTACCAACTCGTCCCTCTGATAACGGACAACCCGTTTCATCTCCGAGTTGATCAACTTGGCTCTTTAGATCCATGTACCGCGCCCGCCAGGCGCACATATGCTTATACGGCATCATGGGTCTTGGGTCATGAATCACAGCTGACATCACTGAGTCTTTGCGTTCTGGATCGTCTTTTTTGTCTAGAGTTTGTGGGTTACTCTGCTCCTCCGCTTCTTTATCGTGGAGCTCCTGACGCTTGGCCATGAGCTCCTCGTCACCTTGCCGAGCGAGTGATAACTCAACGTCGGTTACTTTGAGACGAGGTACCGGTGACTTGAATACAGCGCTTTGCTCAGGTTCAGCTTTCTTCTGCAAGTCAACCTCGGCAAAAGATCGAGAGGATTTCTCTGCTTGTGGTGATATGTACTGATTTGGGTTGTAGTTAATGCAATCCTCCTTCTTGTTCTTTTCAGATACTGGAGTCCGATGATTTACACTACTCAGTTCTCTCCTCCAGTTCTCTACATGAGAAGGGGTCAGACGTTGGTGTGATGGCTGTTCCGCAGATTTGTCGACCTTCCTTAATTTCGTTCTCCACGGTGAGATGTTGGTCGTCTCGGCATTCGGCCTTTCAGGATCATCTCGCGGGACTGTTTTGCGTAACATGTGCACTCCAGGCACTGGCTCATCTGGCTCGTTGGTGCATCTATGAGACCCAGGGCTCACACTATATGTTTTGGCTGGCAAGGGAGTGTTTTGAACTTGTGGCGTATTCCTTCCATTTTCTGCTGGTGAGGTACCGAGACCTTTGTTAGGTATCAGTGGTGCCGGGGTAAGCTTTGCGCCAGTTGGCCGTGAAGTCAGTGATCTCGAATGATGTTCTTGCACGTCACAAGCCTGACCATGACTGCCCAACACGGGCTTTATCCAATGGGCATCATTATGAGTATTGACATGGGGCTCGTGGGAATTTGGACGTGGGTGTCGATCCCCCTTGTGCTTGTTAAGATTAAGTGGCTTTGATTCAATCTCACCAGGAACTGCCGTGTCTCTGCTTAGGCTATGCTTGGTAGTCTCTGTTCCAACGGTCACAGTTTCGTCTTGACTCAGACTATGGTCGGAATTGGGTTGGCTGTGTATTCTCAGCTTGTAACCGTCCATCACCGAGCGCCCGTCTGGTCTACGAGGGGGCCTCTCCTCTGTTGCCGAAGAGGGAAGAGTCTTGACGCCAGCTGCTAGGTGCTCCATGATATGTTGTGAGTGATGCAAGTCTTGCCCGTGATGATACAGTTGATCAATTTTCGTTTGTAACTTTTGTCGTGATGGTGATTTCGCCACTGCTGGGGCGTGCTTCACTTCATGCTTATCCTTATCCTCGTCAATCATATCCAAGTCGTTGCCTTCGATCACGAGGGCTCCCAAACTGCGTCGAGTAGTACAGCTGATGCTATGCCGGGTAGGGTGATGGCCAGCGTGTGTCGCTCGGCAGCTAGGATCAGAGCACTCTTCCTGTACATGGGAAGCGCGGGGCGATTTGGACAATAGACGATCGGGAACGCAATCGGAGTGCTTAGGTTTTCGTTCCACTTGCACTGATCTCGCTGTAATTGCAGGTTCAGGAGCCTTTTTCATCTTTCCCCGGTCTGCCATGAAAAAGGGGTTGTTCTTCACGGAGTTAGATATCTCTGTTGGTGCTGCAATGGTCTTTTTTCGGACTGGTTTCAGGAGTTCCTGATCAATTTTAGGTATTACGCGAGATTTCTTTCTGGTTGGACGGGGAGTCTTTGGTGTTTCTGGCTCGGATGCGAACCTTGAAGTCTTGCGACGACGGGCTGTGTCCAAAATAGCCCGCGTAGGCTGGGCGTCCTCGCTTGTAGCATGCTCTTCTTGAGTAGGTAACTCGGGAATTCTGTCCGTATGATGATGTCCCTTGTATGGGGTCGAAAACGTAGGGATACTGTGTTTGGGGACATTGCCAGGAATTTCTCTAATGCATTTTATACAGTAATCATGTCCGCAGTGCGAGCAGTATCGTTCAAGAGCGAGAGGCTTGCCGCATGAATGACATATCTGCGAGAGTATAGGCCTGTTCTGTACTATTCGATTTGGTGTGCTCGCGCCGCCGTCTGAAAACCATCCAGCGGGCCTGGGTATACCGTACTGCTCGAGGATATCCATTGCATCTTGACATTTCTCTGTCGTGCTCACGGTACGAGACGGGTCCGTCGAGGCAACATTCGATGCTAACATAGACTCGGGGGGCAGCAGCTCTGTACTAGCTGAGTATCGTGGGAGTTGACTCGGGCGAGCTGAAACCTTTCGAACATGACTAATTCGGGGTTGAAATCTAGCAACACCCGGCCGTGACGATGGATCTCGACTGTTGGGTCCTCTTGCAACACTCGTTCGTTGGTGTTCCCTCTGCGGCAGATTCGACGTTTTCTGTCTGGGATCACTATCTCTCGATACACGACTCTTCCGTCCATCGATCGCTCGCTGTTCCTAATCGAACGTGATGCTTTTGCGCACTTGCTCAGGAGAGACTGAAGGTCGTTCACTCGCGGCTGGTTTTTCTGGGAGGGTTTGCAATTGACGAACACGGTCACCGACAACGCCTGGAGGTATCATATCGAGCTGGTATCAGGATTTGTCGACTCTTTCTAAAGGCGAACTGCGTACAAGAGGACATGCGACACTGCTAGAAAAGCAGACGAACGGCCGTTGACGACAGCCCGAATATCAATGAGTCGATAAGGAGTATCGCTACAAAGTGCTGGAATGCGTGTCATATTGTAAGGGGAAGTTTTAAGGTCAATTGTGTAGTGTCATCAATATTAGGGGTTGAGCGCATGTCAAGTCTGGTCTGGTGTTGCAAATGAGGAAGTCGTGGATATGACTCTGCTCTAACGACGTCACTGAAACCTGCCCACCTTACAACAATTCAAGACAAATTAATCACTGAGAATAGACGAATTAAAGTGCATTTAGGAGGTAGCACAACCAGGACTGGTATCAATTGTCACAGCTTTCGTGCTAATATGGGTAGAATATTTTGATGTACAAGGGCCTCCGTCACCACAAACTAACTGCACGCTTATTTCACATGAGCAGACAGGGACTCGAGAACCTAGGTATCCGTTAGTAAAGTCAATCGCAAACATATCACTTAAATACGCACCTCCAACTCGATCTTGGCCTCAGCAATATCCTGCTCGCTTCCGCTGCCGTTGGCGACCTTCTGGGCCTCGGCGATCTGAGCTCGGATGGCCTCAGCGCTGAAGTCCTCAAGGGGGTAACCCTCGACGGCGTTGATGCTAAGGACGGAGTTGGGCTGAACGGTAGCGAATCCACCAGAGACTAAACAAAAAATTCCATCAGCGATTTGTCCGGACCTTGGCAAAATTGATTGGTGTAATTCAAGACGTACGGAAGAACTGCTTGGAGCCAGCGGACTCCTCGACAACCTCAACCAGACCAGGCTTCAGCTGCTCAATGGAAGGAACGTGGTTGGCGAGAACACCCATCTCTCCAGACTCGGCGGGGATGTTGACCTGGACGACATCGTGGGACTTGTAGACAGACTGCGTGCGGCAATTAGCTCCATGCATCAATTGGCGGCGATGCCATCATGGCAATGGTTCAATTAGGTCGTATCGTGTTCGATCTCGATCCGACTTGTCGCGACGGCGGTGGTCATACCTGGTGAGGGAGGGCAAGGCTCAGCTTGATCTGCGATAACGGTCAGCCGGGTCGGGTTCGTTAAAATCAGTAGCCGGGTCCGGCTTCTTTGGGTCTTGCCTTGTCGGGGACGGCCTCGGCGTAGGTTCTTCGCTGGAGGGGAACTCGGACGGCGACAGGGCGAGCTCGGAGAGCCGCACGGGCGATGCGGAAAGAGTTCATGATGGGCTGAGCTGGTGGGTGAGGTTGTTGCTTGGGTGAGCTCAAATGAGGTCGGTCGCTGGCACGAATCTTTGCCGGAGCAGCAATTCGCGATTCGGCTAGCGGGAAAATCCGATAAAGTATTGCACGTGACTATTCACGTGACTTCACTCGACTTACACGATGAATTCATGGAACATCTACTCACAACTGCTTTCACTGCAACCGAATAAGTATTCATCATGTTTTTAATAAGTATAACTAATTCTAAAAATCAGATGCACTGCTCATTGAGAATTGAGCAACTCCATAGCCTCTGACCAACACCAACCGTCCACCATCAAAGACAACGCCAGTTCACAACCCTCAGGGTATCAGAAAAATTGACCACTGGAAGCATAAGAGACGAAATTAGTAGGTCAGCTTATGCTCTTTAGACTATAGTTTTTAGACTTTTGTTTCTTGCACCCTAAGGCTTAGGAGGCCAACTGTTCTACTACCCACTAGACAACCTATTTACTGAATAGTCTTTGCTCAAACGCTCTCAACACAGAGAGAATTTCCTCATGCTGCGGCTTATTCTCATACTCGCAAATCACTTCTTTAACATGCCTCTGGCTGACGTTCTTAGCTGTTGAGAATTCCAGCAAGGTCCTCAACAGCCGCATACGACCATCTTCTGCTGCTTCACATGCCTCCTGTAGCGGACTGTCCACTGGTCCATCAAAATCTAGCCACGACTCATGTTTTAACAACAACTCGAGACGTTATTCGATCATGATAATGTCTTCATCGCTTACTCCCTCAGGGTCCCAAGCAAGACGGAACACTCCGGATAGAAACGCTTGTCGATTGCTCTTGGTCTTGCCCTCAAGCTCCAGATCCCTGATTACAACATGCACATTTGGATCTGCTCTCGCATCGAGTAGCATTTCCATGTTTTTGGTACTTTGATCTCCTAATACTGTCCACATAAGTGGTGTGCAGTCAGTGCCGACGACAAGACTCGCTGATCTTATGCCTTCAACGTTGTCAATTTTTTCATCTTCGTCATTATCAATGTCGAAGAGAGGTGAGTCAGTATAAGTATCGATTTCAATTCCTCGTGAAATGAGCTCTTCTACCACCTCATTCCGGTGATCCTCAGGTGAGTTTGGAGCGCTTGTGCAAAGATGCAGCAAACTGTGGTTGTACTTGAACCGCTTCGAGACTATAGGTTCTGCACCTAACTAGAGCAGGAATTTGGCGATTAAGTAGTTGCTGCTGCAGATGGCTTAGTGGAAGGCTGTTAAGCCATTTTTAGACACTCGGTCAATGGGAACACCCTCTCGGAGAGCATTTTCGATGACAGGTTTGGCTCGCCAGGCTTGTGGAAGACCCCCGCCTATGTAATGCAGGATCGTGCGACCATCGTAGTCACAGTCAGTTATCTCAACGCCTGGTTGCTCAAGGAGTAGATCCATCAGCTCCAATGCACCACGAAGACGGCAAGATGCTGCGATATGACGAGGCGTTTGTCCATTCAGGCCTCGTGCGTTGGGACCAACACCCTCCCGCTGAAGCAAGAGCTCAGCTACCTTGCGATCGCCTAGCAAACAAGCGCGATGTAAAGGCGTGAGACCTTTCTGGTCGTGTAGACCGGCGTTTACCTCTGGACGAGCTAGTAGGATGTTCAGGATTTCAAGGCCTTCGGTTACATAAGTCCCTGACTCAACTAACTCAACGGAGGATATCCCTGCTTCCACCTCCCTCCTTTCCACGCCTAAAACACGATATCGCGACCACGAACAGCCCAGTGAAGTGTTGTCATTCCCTCACCGTCTGGCGACGCTGCATCGACTCCGGGCAATTCGTGCAAAAGCTTTGCAATATCCACTCCACTACGCAGGGCAGCGAGATGCAAAAGGGTCCTTTCCCGGTCATCTTTTTTTGTTGCATCCACCTCTAGTCGTCGAAGAAGCACCTCGAAAATTGGTAGGGTTCTTATATCAACAGCCAAATGCAACGGAATGAGGCCATAGTGCCCGGTCACACTTGCGTCGGCCTCCGGATGCTGCAGTAACGACTTGACAGTTTTTAGGCGTCCAGAAGATACAGCGTTAAATAGAGGCGTACGTCCAAGTGAGTCACGAACGGAGGCATCCAGATCGTTTCTTGCAAGTATACCCTCTTCAAGATTATACACGTGGTAATCAAGAACGTAGCGTAGTGTCTCGCCGGCTGGTTGGGGTCCTAGAAGGTTAATAAGGAGGTCGAAGATTTAATCACGTTCATCTTCATCTTTAGGTCGTTCGTCTCTCAAGGCAGGCATGTCGGGATAGGACCAGTATACTCCCAACCCCTCAATAAGCAACTTTGCAGCTCCTTTGACCTTACTATGAGCCAGTGCCGTGTGAAGGGCATAGGACTTTGTGCCGACTGACCAGCATTCACAGAGTCCTGTCGAGGGGATATGAGGGTTGACGCCAACTTCAACTAGGAACTCGAGAATGTCACGATGTCCATTCATTGTGGCGTATTGTAGAGGCGTGCCTCTCTGTCCACGTTTTGTCGTTCCAGTCATGTTCACATTAACTCCATCTTGATGCGCTTTCCTGATGGCATCCAGCCGTCCTTCTTCAGCTGCTTGGCAGACAATGATTACCCACATGAGGGGGCGAATAATATCATAGAAGTGATGGTTTGTCTGAGTCAACGGCACTTACGCTTTCGTCAATAACTCGGTGTCGATGGTTTCATCGATGCACAAATCGACAATATGATGGATGACTTCCACGGGTAGTACTTCAATTGGGGCCATGACGCGAATCGTTATTGAATAGGTAGTTATTGGGATTATATTTGCGATTTAATTTAATCAGCCATGTTTTTGTCTGTGTTAAAACAAAACCGAATTCTTCAACACGAAGGACCAATGTTGTATGATGAGGTTGAATTACAGCGAACCTTGCGACTCAAAAGCAAACATATATCAGTACTTATGATGTCTATGATGATGCAATTATAAGATGACCAGTTTCTTTAAATTAATCCACGCCTTGAATCATTGATGTGTATTCTCACATGTTTACATATCTGATGTTTTACTACAAGATCCTATTTCTAAAATTTATAGCAATTGCAAGAATATCGAATGGTCGGTTTAGCTACAATTCGTAATAGACCTATATATTGATAAGTACACGATATGAGAGAAGCGAGTGCATTCATATGAGATACATTAGATTGGTCTTTTCTTCAGGACATTGCGATGCAGCATGATACGTCCCGACACAGAACAAACTAGGCTCCTGTCGGTATGTCTACCTAAAGGGAGATTTCCCGTCCGGTAAGAATATGTGAATAGACTCGATGCTACTTTAACATGTTTAATAACCAAATAATCTACAGAGGCCGGCATTAGTTGAGAGTTGGGTAAAGTTGCAATTCTGGGTTTGGTGGTGTTTCACTTCGAAGCGCATTACAACCTCTATATACCCATCCACCAGCACTTGTTCAACTCAAATCGATATTGAAGGCGTTTGACTCATGGTTTGCGGCGTGTTTAGCTGAAGCGACTTCGGAACACCTCATGCTGACAATGGAGTGTTTACTAACAGCCGCACCCTGGCTTTATGGCACGTTTCACTTCAAATTCAGACGCCACGAGATGGGATCTGAATGGTCTAGACAATATTAAGTGTGTCTGGTTTCTTTGTCACCTTGTGGTTATATGTGCTTTGTCGAACTGCATTGTGATGGCATATGAAGGTCAAAGTCTACGCAATGCGAATATGAGGAGCGGACGATGCCGCCGTTTCGAGATATCACATAATACAGAGCGATTAAAGATCAACACATCAGTCATATGATGCAATTACTCTGTACCAATTATTTGATGTGTTGTACATTGCATTCAACAAGTGTCTGCATTCACGGATTGGAGATTACCCTATACCAGAGATGCCTCACTCCCCTCCATGACGACAAGATATCGAAAGTTCCAGTTTTGTTTACTACTTGACACAGCAACTATAACCGACCTGGTCCGGATATGGCTCGGGAGACCGGGTTCTTGTTGTTCGGAAACATCATCATAGAACAAAAGCCAGTTTTACTCTTTCCATCCTTCCGAGGGAACCTTTTTTGTGAGGAGACAGACATAAACCGGAAAACGAGTCTCGGCACTCGAGACGCGTACAAAGTGCCGATCGCACCTCGAGGCAGTGGAGTGATGATCTCACACGTCACAGCAGGTTAACTTGAACTTGACTTTTTACTACTGCTTTTATGCTTTCAGTGGAATTTCGGGCCTTTGAGAGTCCGCTCTCCATGATCCGCGGACCCGAAAACATCCACTGATTCGTATCGTTATCGTCTTGCCAGCTTGTAGTGGCTCAGTTGTCATGTCGTCACGGATCTTCAGTTGTTGTCATCATCAACAACTAGGCGTGGTCAGTCAAGTCGTAACCAAGTCTCAGCCTTCTTTTTTGCTTATGTTGCTTGCTGGCCTTATCTTTCTACCACGCTGCGTAATCCCATCTTGGCAATCGATTGCGCTCGTCAACTGTGACATTGTACAGGTACAGTATTACACAGTAAGTAACAGGGCAGTGGGAATAATAAACGTTCTTCTGATTCACGTCTCTAAGCCCCTGCCAAGAAGCGCGGAGCAATGAATTGCATCACACAGTTTCAGCCATGGTGTTGTTGACTTGAACCATTTCGGAGGAAATATGAAAGTCAACAACACGTCAATTCGAGCCATCACGACTCACTGCCTTTTAGCCCTGAATTCCTCAACTGAATACAAGCTCAACCTCTCCACAAGAAGGCTGAAAGCTGAAAAGTGACGACGTCTCCACTGGTGGGCGAGTGAGATTGCAGTCCGCGGTGAGACGGCGTGGCTGTTGACATTCTTTGTAAGAAATTGCGATTGACTTTCAATATTACCAGGTTTTGGTATAATGGACCGCTGGTGAATGACACGAAGTATCGTCAAGTACTGAGGTTAATTTCGTATCGAGGTTAGCGTACGGAGACAAAAGGAAAAAAAAAAAACCAAGCCTCTTTTTTTCTCTTCCTCTTCAATATTGATGAAGCTATCCCCTAGTCTAGAAAAGTCTGGACGGTAAAGCAAATTTTCAAGAATCCACAATGGCTTTCAACAGAGCTGGAGCTTGGATCAACAAGGAGGTTTCCGATCCACTCATCAAAATCTAAAGAAATTGAACCGTTGGAATTTTCGAGCCATGCCCGTGTTGCTATTCTCAGCCTTGTATCCGTGGCTCACTCACCAAAATGTTGAGGCATAGCATGACATCTAAAAGGCTGAGAAGCTCAGGCCTCTCGGAGAAAATCAAATCTCTTGGCAAAAGATCTAGGAGGGCACATCAAGCCCAATCCCTGATCGGCAATTTTGACGACAACGTGGATGGACAGACGAGCAAATGGACTAGGAAACCCGTTCTTGTACCGTCATAGACAGCATATCTTGCATGTCGTAGGATGCTTGTTTCCTCTAATTTGTAAACGTGGCTTTTTTGGTCTTTGATACCATCCGGCGGTCGACCGGCTCATGGCTGGATTAATGGAACTGACTAGGATGGATGGGATGGGGAGAAACGAGATGGGGTTGAGTTGAGTTGAGTTCACTCATTTCTCAGTTCTCACTCATGTCGTCCATGGGCATGGCATTTTGCTGTACAACCCATCCCGTGTTCCATCTTGCAGCAGAGTCAGCCCACACCTCCCTTTGCCAAAAAACCGCGCATCTTCTTTCGGTATAAACAGCAATGAGACATTGACTTGACTGGGGTGGGCTTCTTTTTGAGTCGGCCCAGTCGTACAACAACCGGCCGAGACTTGGGTCCAATGTCTGGACGATGCACGAGGATGGAGCACGGCAGTATTGTAGTATGCGGGTCAGTATGCGAGCTGCGGGTGAAGATTTAGACGGACACTTCAAGAGACCGAGCGAGATGAAGGTATTTAGACCAATGTACCTGCATTCTTGTCAATGTGAATGGATGTCTAGAGAGAGATACCCGCTGTTTGTCTCGGACCTAGCAATATTCCAAGAGTAAGCTGCCTTGATTGCAGGTGGTTAGTCTGTAAGGTGCATCAAGAATGACCGACTCTTTGACACCTTGCTATGCTATCCCCATAATGCTTAGTGGTATATCATATAACTTGGCTGTATGTGATTCCACTGCAGCAAACTATGGCTGGTAGTCATCTCGTGATCAAGACAGTAGCTTCAAATAGTTGATCATGTTGTTCGTGACTCAGCCCTTAAATTCCAAGAAAGTAGAGGAATCAAATCTTCACCGCCAGAATCTCACGATTATTGAGCCCTGTTTTGAGAGTGGGTGGGCTGTGGAAGAAGGATAGTGGATGGACAGTTCTCGAGGGTGAGCTGAGAGGCGCTATTGGGAGTTGCATGAGCCAGAGTAGAGAAAGGCTATCTGGACGTATCCGTACAGAACAGTAAGCAATCACTGCATCGAAAATGAATGCTATGTTACATGGTGGAAATGGATTTTCAGTTATGCGCTGATAGCGCCTTGTCGTCGTATCCTTTTAGGATGCGGGGTTTGGCTTCAGAACGCGGGGTTAGTACCCAGGCGGACGGGTCAACGTGACGAGGAGCGTCAATCAAAAGGATAATATCAAGTATGCGTGCCAGTAGCAGACTAGAGAATTGATATCACATCAAGACATGTCCGTTATCGCACAGGTTGAACCAAAGGGCCAAGGCAAAGACCGAGACCGAGACCCCTCCGAATGCCTTTCAGGCAAAGCAAGGGTGGTTGCACTGCCTGTATGCAGTAGCGACAACAGCAGCTGCTCCAAAATCACGGGAAACGACCGAGGCATTTGGCGATCACTAAACGGCGCCAAATAGGATTGGGTCGTTTCGAGTACCTTCTTTATTTACGATCGTCGCTGTAAAATGAAGTGTGCCATGTATAACGAGTCAAGAAAGCTCGGATATCTACCAGCTATGATCACATAGAGGACCTTTTCTACAACGTCGTGACATCGTCCGGTAGTTTCAGCACCTCATTCTCATTTCATGGGTAACTAAAATGAGAGTCGGGCAGTTTCAGGGTCCTCTGTGATACTGTCGGGGCGACGATCCCATTGACATGTTGATAGGCGACTTGACTCAGATTCATGCGCCCACCTAGCGCATAAGACAAAGTCCATCCATGCCAAAACTGTCGTCATCGGGGGATTTCTGGCTTGCATTGCATGGGTTTCTGCAGTAGGAGAAAGAGAGAGCTCACGAGGATGTAAGGAAGTAGGCATTAATTGGTGGATGAAGGAAGGGGTGTTGTTGATGCAGAGACAACAGAACACCCAAAGTGGTTAAACGCAACCATCTGCGTGCCCTGAAAGCAAGGGTCGATCGTGGTCGACGCAGACGGATAGAGGCACCAGTAAGAGAGATTCTATCGTAAACGAAACAGGTGATTGTGGGGAAGGTTGAATGTTAATGAGGCGAGCATCTGGATCGATCAATGACACTTGTCTTTTGTTGCTCGCTTCGATGTTAGTACTAAACTACAAGGTATGGATTCTGTGTACCCCCACGGCTTTGGGGTTAGCCAAGATTAAAACGAGTAATATTCAGCGTAATAAACCTGATTAATAAAGACGAACAAAGAAGGAGACAAGAGAAATGGGAAAGCACGCAGGCGCGTCAAAGGCAAAGACAGACAAAAAACTCGTGTCGTATTGTGGTGCATTGTGCATTGTAGTACTAACAAAGGGTGTACGATAAACGAAGGTTTGATTTGATAGACGAGACGACATCAAAAGATCAACAACCCTTCTTGCATCAGTCAGTGACAGTTAGACAGTGGGATGTGGTCCCCTGAAACAAAGCAAGCAATCAGTGTGTCAAATCATGACTATCATCTGAGGATCTGGTTGGCGAAGTGACTGATTGTCAGTCACAAGCCAGTCCGATGATCAACGACAACACAGCTGCTGTGCTGTTGTGTTTTGCAATTTGCGGACACATACACCGCCTCGCAAAGAATGAAAGCGGCTGGTGTCTCACAGTTTTGGTCTCAAGAACATACTGTACAATGTACAGTAAAAAACGGCATTCAACTGGTGGGAAAGATTCCATCTGTGGATCTTACTAGGCCAAGAATTCTGTGGCGGGTTGCTTCTGGAAAAGAGTATTCGCGGTTGATTATGCGAGCACGAGGCTTGGATCAAGGCAGTGCATAAGATCTTCGCACGGTATATTCAAGCAGCGAGTCGTACTGACTGTTCGGTCATCTACGGAAGAGTCAGACTCAGACTCAGACTCAGACTCAGGACGGTGTGGCACATAGTAGATCAGGGCAACCTGTTTTCGGTCACTAAAACGTGGATCTATTAGAGGCTGGATGCTGACAGGCGCCACTGGTCAATTGAGAAAAAGACCCTGAATAAGTTGCTGTTGGACCTGACTGGACAATTATGTCCAAAGAAAGGGGAATGAATGAGAGACAGTACACAGCCCGTAATAAACTACAGTAGAGCCAAGACTGATATTTTGTCGGTCAGCACTGGAACCGAAATTGCACCGCGGAATGTGTCTTTTTTTCCCTCTTCTCGCTCGCTCGCTCGCCTCAAAAATAAGTAAACAGACTTCTCGACGTACAGACCGTAATGTACGTACACGAAAATCTAATCTCAAGTCGGTCAATGGATCCTTTACGGTTGCTCTATTCCTCGGCAAGGGCTTGGAAAAGCGGACTCAAGACGTCGGAGCATCAGCAGCGGAGCAAGACATTTTTTTTCCAGGGCACGTTTTTCTTTACAGGCTGACGGCAGGGGGAACGAATGGATCAATCTAAGCGCTGAAAGGTCTAGCCCAGGAGAAAGGGTTAGAAAAAATCCAGCCTACCAAAAAAAAAAAAGGGCGCAAAATGTCCATGAACCTGGAATCGTCCAGTTCCTGCTTGGCTTTCATCAGTTGAAAAAAAGATGACTGTTCCCACTCACACCTCATTCTCTTGTCATCAATTGGTGATGGCGTACTGTACTCTAAAGTAGAAGCCCTGCCCTGAACCCTCTGACAGACAGTGAGGAACCCATCATCCATCCAATGTAACAAGCCATGTCTCTAGGTCTCTTGTTTCTGGTCCGTGCCAGTAAAAAAATCTTTGACGCTGTGAAAAAGAAGACGAGATCCATTTTTTACCCGCTCCTTGCACGGTAAATCGACGGCCGCTCTGCGTCTCTAATTTAGGGGACGGGACCCCCCAAATCTTAACCCGTTCCTTGTCGTCGTTGGCCCCGACCTGACTGTCGAGTTGTGCCTTTTTACCTCTTTTCTCCTAGTCCAGGTCGCGTCTTTCTTTGTACCGCGAGGTATTCATTCTAGTTCTGGTCTTGTTGTTTCGTGTCGGATTAATCAAGGCTTACTTATTATTAAAATTCGAGTCAAACAAAGGAGGACCCACGGGCGAGTATTTCTTTCACGGAGCTCCCTTCCTTCTACCGCCCTTCTTTGTAAACGTTGTTTCTCCTTTTTTAACTTCTCACCTGGTCCTTGTCGAGAATCTTTTGTCCCAGACCTTGTTCTGTTTCGCTGGAAATAGAGATACACTGTACTAGACTGTACTGTACCCGTGCCTCGGAGAACGTCATCTGCACCTGTCTTGTCTCCACGCGCAATAACAGCGAACGACACATACACACCCTAGCAGCCCAGACACACCCACAAGCCAAAGTAGCACAGACGCCACCCTTTTTCAGATTAGGGAATCTGCAACCTGGAAATCAGCCGCCTCTTCTACTCCTCTTCTAGCCTCTCCTCAAAAGCACTGTCCGGCCCGGCCCTGCATCTCACTTTCACTCATCGACCCATATCCCATATCAGAGCTCGCTCGTCCGCCGACTTCAAAACCTTCTTTGACCAAAAACAACCTCTATCACCTTATAGTAGTTGACCATGTTTGTCTCGCTTTTATAGCACCACCGTCCTCAGGGACGCATTTTATAACAAGACTCTTGAAAGTTGCAGCATTTCACAGCACAGCTTGAGCTACTACGATACCTTCATACAACTCACACACCCTTCCTCACTTCAACGAAACCGTGTTTTGGAACTTCATCATAACCTCCTGATCATCATTGGAATTCAGCTTTACTCTGGATCTAAACGACTTGACCCACACTCAAATCACGCATTTATATCTCCCTATAAACCAAAATGACCACCATGACCAACAACCTAGATACACCCTGGGTGGCTCACGGCTCAGAAGAAATCGAGGAGGCAGACGAACCACCCGAGATAAACTTCAAGAAGCAGCAGTTCACCTCAAACGACTTTCAGCGAACCACCATTCGACCTTCCACCGAGAAGAAGTCCTCCTTGTTGACCAAGGCCATCAATGGAAACTCGGATGACGACCTGTACATTCCCCAGAACACCACCAACACTCGGCAGCGACGCCGCTCTCTCGTCAGCAACATCAGCTTTGCCTCGACCGCCGAGCTCACCAGTGATACTGGATTCACCAGTCCTTCTCGCCCAAGCACTCCTAGCCCACCTCTTGCCGACATGGCTATGCTTCGCCTGCACGATGAGCGCGCCCCCGTGCCGACTCACGTTTCTCTTCTAGGTGCCGCTGTTAAGTTGCAGCAGGGAAAGACTGAGGAGCCCAAGAAGCGATCTATTCAGTTTGCATGTGGTGGCAAGCCTACAGTACCAGTGCAACCACCTCGATCTCAGCCCATGGAGAAGGCCCCTTCTGCCCAGGAAGCTCCCCGCAAGTCCTGTATCAAGTTCGCTTGTCCAGCTCGACCCGCCTCTACGCAAAACACCCCTCCTCGCTCCATTGGAATTAACACAAACCGCAAGGATGCCACTCCCAAGGCAGAGTCACCATCTACTCCCAAGCGAAGTATCGCTTTGTCTGCACCTCGACAAATTACTCCCCGCAGACATTCCATGTCCCGCCCCAAGTTCCTCCGTGCCGACTCTTCTGACCTCGCTACGGATAGCTCCCAGTTCCACGAGTTTGCCAGTGGTACCACCCGCGAGGACGATTGGATCCGACGTGACAGCACTGCAGTCGCAGTCAAGCTGACCATCAATGACACTCTGGTCAAGGAGAACAACATCCGACGTCTGGCTACCGAAGCAGAGCAAGAGGCCGAGGAAGAAGATGAGCTTGATAACGACGACGATGCAGATGTTGACGACGAGGATGAGGATGAGGACGACGAGGATGGGCTTGACGTTGATCTCGACGAGGATGACGAAGAAGAAGACGACGAGGATGATGATTCTGATGGTTACCATACCGACGAGGAGACCGGATTTGCTGATTCTGATGACGACGACGAGGACGATGACATGCGTCTCTGGACACCTGGTGCCAAGTCTGTCGTTCACATTGGATCTGGTGCTACTTTGATGCGTCGACCTTCTCTCCATGAGATGCAATCTGATTCATCAATTGCTACCGTGAACAGCCAGCGAGCTAGCCGCCGTTCCAAGCGCGTTAGATACGCCGAGGAGGCCCCCGATCTTCCCGACAGCACCGATTTTGTTTGTGGTACCTTGGATGAAGACCGCCCCCTTGAAGAAGCCTATCTCTCGTGCCTCGCAGCTCGACGAAATGAGAAGCTCCGTGTCATCCCTCAAGACATCGACCCCAGCTTCCCAGCTTCGGAGCCCGAAGAAGAGAATGATGGAGAGATCTTCAACCCAGTCCACCACGAAAGTGACGCCGACGAGTTCTTCGGATCTATGGAAGACTTGCACCAAGACCGTGATCGTTCCCGTCGCCGACGCAAGAGCGAGCACGCTTCTCCCAAGCGATTCCGCTCACCCCCTCCTAAGCGCCTTCATTCGCCGCCCCCCAAGGTCCGGGCTCGTTCGCCTAAGCCACTCTTCAGCCGTCAATCCCCTCGCAGAGCAAAGTCCCCCGCTCCCATGCGCAAGCCCATTACTACCCCTCTCGGATCTCCTCGCTGCGGCCAAGTCAACTTCAACCTTGCTGGCCGTCCTGGTCTTACCCACACCAAGTCTCTGCCTCGTGGTGGTGCCATGTGTCACCAGCGAAAGCACCCCCGCAACAAGATGACCCACGACAACGATACTCACATTCGTGGTGCCATTGACATTGTCAAGGGCTTGGAGAGCAAGCGTCAGCGACGTAAGGAGAAGTTCCACCAGAAGTACTGCAACCGCGCCCGTCGTGGCAAGATCCCCGAGCCCAAGCCCGTTCCTGGTCGCGGTACCGAACGTATGCGAGAGCTCGGCCTTCTGATGGCTGGCAAGAAGGACCAAACCAACTACGTCCTTTCCATCTAAGCAGGCTTCTTTGTCTTTTTCCCTAACTGCACAAGAACCGCAATGCTTTTTTCTCCCTAGAATGCGAGACATGTCACGACGAAGATGATACATCTTACACGACTTTTTTAACTTGATGACTACAAAATGTCTCTTCTTCTCATTACTCTTTCTCGGCCAGGTCTCCGAGATTGTTTGCCCTGTATATACTCATAATGGACCGACACCCTTTGGATGCAGAGCTTGGTATTATCCAAGTTCTTTTCCTGTACATATTTTTTCTTATTTTTTCTTTGTCAAAAACTGCATAAAGCGGCCGGACAACGCTCGCTATTGGCGGAGGAGCCATGTTTGAACTGCTTGGATACCCGATACAGCATATTGGTATTACGAGGTTACTTGCTCGGCGTTGGATGAGGGAATATCATGACATGCATTTAGCAGATATCAATAACGATGATGATTACTCTGCAATTACTTTGTGCCTTTTGTGAAATGATAAATTCTGTTTGAGATTGTATCCTGCTGATTGTCAATTTATTCAATGTATATGCGTGGTCTTGTAGATATATCTGTTGTATGGACAGCCGGAAAATGAATGTACTATCTAGGTGGCAAAAGTTGCTTGCCCAAGAGAAAACAAGTACTCTATATCACATTATGTTATTTGTTTTCCGTATCCTAACTTTGGTCTTGGGCTTCTGTTACTCTAGGGTACTCTAGGGAGTCTTAAAAAGTTGTATCTCCGAGTATCATCCTTTGACTCCGTCATCCCAGGGAAGGCAAGCCTCGACCTAGGCACAGGTCTTTTTCTTACTGGGCCTCTTCCTTCTAGGTCTCTGGCAGACAGATTCGATCATCGTAAAAGAGATCTCATGATACCCTCCAGGGAGCCTCCTCAAGCGGAGGGCAACCCAATCCATTGCCTAGATACGGCTCAGCTCCTCACTGTATGAACTCGAAGGCCCTCCGTAAGCTACACAAGCTGGACCTTCCAGTTAGTACAGAGAGAGGAGAGTACTTTCCATGGTATGTACCTCTTGCCCTTTGTATACCTTCTAGGGAGCGAGTTCTGAATGAGAGTAGGGGCCTTAATGGACCAGTCACCGGTCTGCATTTCGTTAGCGCGATTGACGTCACATGAGGCTCACGATCAAGAGGCAAAGCGGGAAGGTACATTCAACGACTGCGTTCATGTCACTGACCTTGATGCTGATTATAATTAACAGAAGCTTGATATATTCTAGTCTAGCAAATCCCTGTAGGCTTCGATGTTGAATAGAAAAAAAAAAAATCTTTATTTGAACATAAATTGTCTTGAGAGAGCTTTACTTACTTAGAGAACAGTAGAAGTTGTGGACCCATCACCACAGACGATGGGAAGGATAGAGATGTCAAAGGAGAAGGAGCAGGCCAGGCACCGGCAATTGCTCTGTTTCAAAGACGATTCAACTAAAACGACCAGGTTCAACTCGGGGTGCTGGGCATCTCGGTGGCCCTCAACGCCGTTTCGTCCACAGCCTCATCTCTCTCTGTCTCATTGGCGTGATGACAGAATATGGTCAAGTTACATGATTGGCGTCTTCTGCAGTGATAAAAAAGGCCCCCCGAAATGTAAGGACTCTAACTTCATGTTTGTTACACTGTTGGCTAACAATTACAGCTGGGCTGCATCGCGACGTTCGCCCTGCTCTGAGCTCAGCTGGTCCCATCAAGAAGACTTCTCTATGCCTTACATGATCAACGTGCTAGCCTAGAAAACCAAGGATATTGGATCTGCTATGGCTTTGCATAATTGGTGTGGTTACGATGGTCAAGCTACATGGGTTGGCGTCTCCGGTAGTAGTGACAAAGGTCTACCGAAATGTAAGGACTCCAGCTTCTTGTTTTTATACTGTTGGCTAGCAATCACAGCTGGGCTGGATTACGATGTTTGCACTTATGACGGGGACACAAATTGGACTTGGTGTCATTAGCATCACGCCCAGTTTTCACATCCTCGGTCCCCCTGCGAGTTTTCATATACTTGGTCTTGTCCCGGGGATGCTTTGTCTCTACAATATCGGCATCATCACCATCTTTAACCATCATTACTCATCGCCATCTAGCATTACGCCAGCACCCTTGAAGAAGCGCGAACCTCATTTCCCGCCAGGATGTTACGCAACGGGCTATAACACTCCCCGAGGGGAGCCGCATTCCCAAAGCCTTTGTCCCCCGGGAAAACTGATGCTGGCCTGGACTGGAAGAGTGCACTGGGGAGAACCCCAGATGATTTAACCAAGCCCACGTCTGGTCATAAACGCTTCCCATTGCGCTGATCGACATTGGCGGTGGAAAAGTCTAACCCATCGTCTTCTCCGCTGTTTCTGCCATCATTCTGCTGATCCTCGTAGGACGAAATTAGAAGGTCAGTTTATACTATTTAGGTCAGACTTCTTAGGCTGTTTGTTTTTGTATCCTAGAGCTTGGAGGCTAACTTTTCTGGTACTCTCTAGCCTTTACCGAAGTCGCTATCCTTGGTTATATCGATATCGTTTTCATTCTGGCCGCCATCCCCATATCCTTTACCGACCGCTATCCTTGGTTACACCTCTACCATCATACAAGATAGCGTCTTAAACATGCTGGGGACAAGGGTCCTGACTATCGAGCTGTAAGAACTCCAGCGTCTTGTTTGCTATACTGTCAGCTAATACATACAGCTAGGTTAGATTGCGATATGCATCTTATGACCACGATGCAGATCGGCCTTAGGGCGCTCAGCCTCCCTGCGAGCTTCCGTACACAATGCTGAACACCCTATACTCGGACTGATCCCGGGCATGATCACCGACTGGTTCAGCTATGTAGTTGGCATCTTTAAGCTCAACAATCCCGGGCATGCTGCCTCTCTGCACTATCGGTCTCATCTACCACATCATCATCATCACATCCTTAACAGCCTCTCCAACAGTTGCCACCGTGTCTTCTATCGATAGGAACCTAGTTGCTCCAACTATCATCGAAGATGCAGTCTTAAAATGCGTTAACGGTAAAGGCCATAATTACATTTTTGACCTCTACATCATCACCATCATCCTTGACAATCGCCAGCATGTCGCCAGACAAGAACTCGGCAACCTCGACCTCGTCCAAGATGGCGTCTTTGGCCCTATTGGAGACAAGACTCACACAATCTTATAGACTATCTTACATTCTATCCTCAACAGTTGCCACCATGTCGCCTAAGATGATCTCGACAACCTCTACCATCATTCAAGATGGCGTCTTTGACCGTGTTGAGGGCAAGGGACCCAACTACCCACTCACTTATGATTCACCTTCAACAAGAGCCCGTCACAGGCTGCTGAAAGCTTAACCGTCACTCAAGATGCTGTATTTGGTCGTGTCACAGGTGAGGGTCCCAACTACCGACTCACCTATGATTCACCTAAGGTTAAAAGGACATGGACCATTTCTAGATGAAGAAGACACTAGTTGGGTATCATGAATAGAGACCATAACAAGGACATCAAATGGCTGAGGCATCAGGTACCTCCAAGAGACCGAATGAGTGTTGTTGCAGGATTGTTATCGGACTCATGAAGGATACATTTGGAGTAAATTGAGAAGGGTCGGCCTTCAACTTAGAGATCTAGAAGGAAAAAAAAAAAAAGTAACAACATTCATCGCCCTCGCAATTGGTTGTAAGGATATTTCAGAAGTTAGAAAGTTTTCATCCAAAACGACCATCTCCAAATCATAAAAACAAGTTATGTAACTATTTGCAAACACGCAAGCCACACATTCAGAGTCAAAGTGTACAGCGTGACATGTCACTATCATGTTTGCCTAATTTGTCAGGCACTAATCCAGCGTCACCCTTTCTTGCCAGCTTTTGATCTATGTAGCGCCTTCTACACAGCTCTACTACAATCAACGACGCCAACGAAACGTAACGACGACTCTTTTTCTCTTTTACACCATACACACCACCACTTCTTTTTACTACCAATTAATACTCACTCACATTTAATACGTCGTCATCATGTGGATCGTCAACTGGTGTAGGTATTAAAATGCATCTCTTGCGACTTTGGATGGGCTGACACGTGCTATGTATAGTCTACGATGTGCTGTCCTCCCTGGGCCTGCTCAACAAGCACGCAAAGCTGCTTTTCCTCGGTCTTGACAACGCCGGAAAGACTACTCTTCTCCACATGCTGAAGGTGCGTCGACACAATATTGCTGGATGAATCTTGTTCGACTGGATTGCTTGAAAGCGGTGGCGGATTCGGAGGAATATAAAGACTGACGATGGATATAGAACGACCGTGTTGCCATTCTCCAGCCCACTCTTCACCCCAGTAAGATTCCTTTTCGAAATACTATTTGATTCCCTACTAAGACATCGCAGCATCCGAGGAGCTTGCTATTGGTAACGTCCGCTTCACCACTTTCGATCTTGGTGGCCATCAACAGGGTACGTGGACATGCTATCTCCCGCTTTCAACTTACCTAACAATCAACAGCCCGACGTATCTGGCGCGATTACTTCCCCGAGGTCAACGGTGTCGTCTTCCTTATCGACGCCAAGGACCACGAGCGATTTGGTGAGGCTAAGGCCGAGCTCGACGCCCTCCTCTCTATGGAAGAGCTTTCCAAGGTTCCCTTTGTCATCCTCGGCAACAAGATCGACCACCCCGATGCCGTCTCCGAGGACGAGATGCGACACCAACTCGGCCTCTACCAGACAACCGGTAAGGGCAAGGTTCAACTTGAGGGCATCCGACCTATTGAGCTCTTCATGTGCTCAGTAGTTATGCGCCAAGGTTACGGTGACGGTATACGCTGGTTGTCACAGTACGTCTAAGGGAGACCGAAAGGGATACGGGGGGTGGCTGGAGATTATATCTTACGTTACGTTACATCTTGGTCGATGGGAGAACGAAGACATGTGACTATTCAGTGTTTTTGAAATTCAGAAATTCTCCGTTGGGCGAACAAAGGCTGTGCAATTCAACTATAACATTTTGCTACGACTAAGCGACATTGACTCCTTGACAATAGTCCCTGTGATAGTAAAAATCAACCCCTGGTGGTATTTGTGCTAGGATCCATGCTTACAAGGGGCGATTTTTGGGGATGCTCATGAACGATAGTAAGCGGCGGGTGATCGCATGATGCGCAATTCGACTGGCTCAGCGTCACTTGAAATAGAAGGTTAAAGAACCAGAGATAGGTCTCACGCTTTACACGCCAATATCAGAGTATGTGGGCTCATTTTCTTACTGTAGGTGGTGACACCAGGTGTTCGATAACGGCCTCGGTTCGCCAAGACGGACTGGTATGGGGCCCGCCTCCGTACCATTTTCCCCAACGGAATCTACGTCATGTTACTAGAATCGTCACAAGACAACCCAACTCAAATCATTGCAATCAATTACTCCTTTAATCCGTGACAACTTACAACTTCTTAAGCCTCAGCTTATGTTTCTTTCTGGGCGATGGGTTAGTGATCACACAACATAAAACTCGCTCGCAATGTCGTCGTCATCATATTCCTCGCTACTCCCTCGCGATCCCGTATACGGATTTCCACCAGAGGCCTTCGACACCTCCCTTCTTCCAGATGTCGATACTGAATTCGTTGATGCGCAAGATCTAGAATCCTTTGAAAAGGCGCTCCAAGCTCCAGATCCTCTACAGAGTCCAACCGATGAAACCGGCGCTCGGTCGCCGCGCAGTCCCAGTTCGTTCAGCGTGACAAAGAGACCTTCACAGGTTGAATCAGGGCTTGCCGACGACGTCGCTGCTGTCGCCGCGGCCGCAGATGCCACTTCCGGGGGTTTCCCAGTTTCTCAGCCGCAGAGTCAGGGAACATTTATCACAGCGCAAAACGATTGGGCGCCTGTAAATGAAAAGGTCTATCGCCATCGACGAGGTTTTAGACGAAATAAGCGCAAACGAAGAAATGGAAAGGGGCCTGTTGAAGGTCTTTTAGGAACACGAACCAAGGACGAGACCCGAGAAGGATACTTGTATCAAGTTTCAAAATGGCCTTTACTTATTTTCGTGTTCGCATGGCTGGGTGGACTTGCTGCCATGTACCTATCGACAAGATTGTACATCTGGGTATATGAGCACTTTTTCACGTGGAGAGGTCAGCGCGAAAGACTCCGACGCAATTTACGAAATGCTTCAAAATACGAGGACTGGGTATCAGCTGCGAAAGAGCTTGACACATATCTGGGCCGACAAACGTGGAGGGAAGAGAACGATTTCGCCTACTACGACTCAAAGACTGCACGACGAGTATGGGAGCAGATGAAGAAGACGAGGCTTCGCGCCGAAGAGCAAGAGAGCAAGGGTGAGAAAGGTGACGGGGGTAAGGCAGTGGGCGAGCTCAAGGCATTGATTGAGGCTTGCGTGAAGAACAACTTTGTTGGCATTGAAAACGCGAGGCTGTACAGCCAGACATATTACGGAACCAAGAACCTGGTACAGAATTTCCTCGATGAAGGTGAGATTTTAACTATTGTGTCTCGTATTATAGACTAACATGACACAGAGGAGAAATGCATCAAGTTCCTGGCTAGCACCGAACAGCTGGAGATGGAGCAGAAACGAGTCCTTTTCAAGCACGTTTATGCAAACTACGGAAGAACAGCGCTCTGTCTATCCGGTGGCGCAGCCTTCGCTTACTATCACGTTGGCGTTGTTCGAGCCTTGTTGGATGCGAACCTACTACCGGATGTTATCACCGGTACCAGTGGCGGTGCTTTAGTTGCGGCTCTGGTAGCTACTCGAACGAACGAGGAGCTTGATCAACTTCTTGTCCCAGCTCTTTCTGAACGTATTAACGCTTGCCGTGAGTCCATCACCACCTGGTTCCCACGATGGTGGAAGACTGGTGCTCGTTTCGATTCTGTTGACTGGGCACGACGATGCGGCTGGTGGACGCATGGCTCGTTGACATTCCGAGAGGCCTACGAACGAACAGGCCGTATTCTCAATGTTACCTGTGTTCCAGCCGATCCTCACTCGCCAACAATTCTATGCAACTACTTGACAAGCCCCGATTGTGTTATTTGGTCTGCTGTGTTGGCATCGGCCGCGGTTCCTGGAATCCTCAACCCTGTTGTTCTCATGATGAAGACACGAGATGGAAGTCTGGAGCCGTATTCCTTTGGACACAAGTGGAAGGATGGCAGCCTGAGAACGGACATTCCTATCAAGGCATTGAACACGCACTTCAACGTCAACTTTACCATTGTCAGCCAGGTCAACCCCCATATCAACTTGTTCTTCTTTTCGTCTCGAGGTTCAGTCGGCCACCCAGTTACACATCGTAAGGGACGTGGATGGCGAGGTGGCTACCTCATGTCAGCATTCGAGCATTATCTAAAGTTGGATATGAACAAGTGGCTCAAGTTTATCCGCCATGCCGAGTTGTTGCCACGACCTCTGGGCCAAGACTGGAGTCAACTTTGGCTGCAGCAATTTAGTGGAACCATTACTATTTGGCCCAAATCACGAGTTTCCGACTTTTGGCACATCCTGACAGATCCTGATCCGCACCGACTGTCACATATGATTCACGAAGGAAAGCAGAGTGCTTTCCCCAAGCTCAAGTTTATCGAGAACCGGCTCAAGATTGAGCGTTTGGTTGAGCGAGGACGTACAGACTCACGTCCATGGGTGCGCCGAGGTAGCATCCAGACTATTCTGAGCGAAGAGGATCTCCGAAGTATTCTCGTCGACGAGATGGAGAATAGTGTGACCACAGAGGAGGAGACGGACGGAGATGATCTTAGTGCTCTGGGCCTCGGCATGACGATGGCCGAGGGTGATGTTCTCTACGAAGAGCCGAAAGAGAAGAGTGATTCCGAAGGCACTGACTAATTGAATTGTCGAAGGATAAAGGAAAAGAATGCATCATACAGTATGTTGCTTTGTTATATTTGCTTAGTAAAATTGGTTGCTATAATTTGGGTTGGGAGGAACAGTAGATCGTTTACAGCGTTAGTAGTCTAAATCAAGCGTTTCATTTGTCAAAATAAATAAATTTCGTATGTTCTGATAACTCAAAGCCTCCCTTGAATACGAGTCTCAGCAATGAACCAGTTCCTCTCCTTAGCATATTCGCATACACTTTAATAGATTTAATGGCTGGCGCTAGAAGCTGATAGATTGATTGATTTGCAGGGCCGAGTACGCTAACAACAGTGGCTGTCTGCTGCTCCTTCTTGCCCCCTGTAATCGAAACTGTG